ATCTGTACCCGAATACGCGGCGTCACCGATCTCCGCCACCCTTCCACCCACAGAACCTCCATCGACACCAGCAGTACCTCCGACGACGACTCAATCATTATTCAGCAAGGACTCGACGAAGCCACTATCCTCACCTACCCAAAACTCCTCTACTCCGAGGCCAAGCTCCATAAAGGCTTCGCGGACACTTCAGGCTGCTCCATATGCTTGGCCGACTACGTAGATGCTAACATGCTCCGCCAGTTACCTGACTGTGGTCATCTCTTCCACCCGGCGTGCATCGACCCATGGTTAAGGCTTCATCCAACGTGCCCAATCTGTCGAAACTCGCCGGTGCCAACTCCCCTAGCAACACCTTTCGCGGTGGTGGTCCATGTGGCAACAGGATAAAAGTATGGCTTCAACTTGCAAATCCAAGGTTTTCTTTTTTATAATATATTTTTGGATTCTTTAGAGGATGTATTAGCATATTTGACGGGGAATATGGCTTTGCTGTCCCTATTCAATTATCCATCTTTCCCGAATCTAATCAATGATGGATCTAAGAGGCGAGTAGAGACGACCACCCTCCTAGATGTTCGAATGTAATGGTTGTATTACATCATCTTTGTTACGTGTTATTAACATTTAATTATATGCAACCACCTAAGATTAATAGATCTCACTAAATTCAATAATCACTAATAATTTTTACATTGAATTAGGGGGTTCAGTACTCATATGTGTTTGTTTATAATTGGTTACTAATATCAAATTTTAATTATAATGTGGTATCAATGTTGCGAACAATCCAAATAGGATAGGTGCCTCCAAACTGAATTAATACATGTGGGGCTCGTTTGGTATACGTATTATGAGGGGATTAAATATTGGATTGTGCTATTTTTTATTTAATCGGGACTAATACTTTGTTTGGTAAGCAAATTTGATACCGTATTAATTTAAAAAACGTTAAGTATATTTTTTATACGATAGACCTGTATTATAGAGGTTTTTTAATACCACAAAAAGAGGTGACATTATAATCCAACTCAAACGTATTATTCTACACATTTACTATTATAACACTCCAAGTAATAACTTCAAGTTGTTATCAATGTAACAAACACTGATTGAATGTATTTTTGTTAATTCAACATTAATACGTTAAAATAATTCTCTAACCAAACAACTAATTGGATTAAATAACTACTATTCAATGTTTATATTGTGTATTATCAAACACTAAATAAAATTATGTATTATTCTAATATCATATTTAATCTTGTCTTTATTAATTCATCTGTATTGCAAATGAGTTAGTGAACTGCATAAAATTTGATAACTATCACATTCATTTAATCAAATAACTACCCAATTATAAATAAGTGGAGTTTACTTGGCCTATTTATGAAATTGTTATTAGAAATAGATAGTGATACACTTGACAATATTGAGGACGTGGTATTACCGATACACTAACTATTTACCCCCAAATTACCCCTAGCAACATCCTTCCCCGGTTGAATAAACTTTGCATGGAACTAAAGCATGTTTATCCTTCTCTTTGGGCTAGCCTAAATATATTATAATTGTAACAATCCATATAATACAAAGGTTTGACCTTTGAAGTAGGCAACTGTACTGTGCACCCTTATTTCTTATAATATGGTGGAGTATACGAACAAAATTTAAGTTAATTAAATCAAGTTACAGATACAAAGACGGCGGTTATACCGCCACTTGCGTTTATTGAAAAGGCAAGTGATTCGTCTGAGGAGCCTGGGAGCACTATGGTCCGGTAGAACGGTGACTTAGCTCATACCGGTCCTATTATTAACGTGGTAGATGCTAAACTCTAACATCCAATAGCTCGTCCTAAACTGAAAACCTTTTAAAATCATAAGCCTACTGGTTCAACAAATAATATCGGGGTTCAATTTGGTATACTTGATTAATGTGTCATTGAAGTTGTTCTTTAAGGGAAGGTGCTAGTTAGTAGTTAGTCTGATTGGGAATCTATTGGTAGTCATACAAAGGTCTTATCCTAGAGACCCATCTTTATGCGGTATGTTGATGTGAGTGTATGCTTTGGTGAAGTTTCAAGACCTTTATTAAAAAAAAAAAACGGGGAGAGAGAGAGAGAAAGGACAGCCCGTACTTGAGGAAGTTTGGGGGAAGGTAACAGCCATTTTTGGCAGCCTAGGTATCCTTATGTTGGACCTATTTACTCCAAGAAAACTCCAGTTTACAAGAATAGATGCATCACGTCTGCATTTTGATAAAAAGCGATTGTTAAGCTTCTTATTGCCCTAAATCGATAAATAGACGTTATTTAATTAATAATATTTAAAATTATGAGATATTAACTAAAAATATCATTAAATAAATTAAAACCACAAATATCTAACATCATATATATATTTATATCTACATCTATACTACTTATAAATATTAACATCTACAAAAATATTTTGATTTTTGATTTTATCTTTAATTATTATAATAAATTCAATTATACAGACCTATATACTTTCATATAATTTTTATTTTTTACACTTATTTGATTTTCAATTTGTTTTGAACTGTTTTATAAAGATTTATAATTTTTTTTTGAACTCATTTATTGGTAGTACAATTACATATAATTATTTATATCTATATGAAGAAGTAAAGTTCTATATATGTTAAATTATTATACACATTTAGTTGTTAAATTAAATTCTGTGGTCAAATATTTGTTATATATTATTTTTTTTATGCAATAATATAATCTATTTTAAAAAAAAATGAAAGTTAATAATTCTATAATATAATTAGTTAGATGTACAAATGCCTAAAGGGGTCGAAAAGATACATAAATATTAGTTACTAAAAAATTTATAGAATAAATCAATATTAAATTTAGTAATAATTAAAATATAAATTAATTTTTTGGCACCTATTTTATTATTTAATTTAATTAAACATGTAATTCATTTTTTTTTGTAAAAATAATATTATATAAATTTGTTTACATGCAACGCACGTTATGCATTACTAGTAACTAAAAATCTATAAAATAAACTCAATCATTAAAGGTTGATGTCCAAAAAATTTCTTTAAATAAAACAATGATATCCAAACTAAAATCCTTTAAATAAAACAATGATATCCAAACTAACTTAAAAATAATTATTTATGGAAGTATTATATCCGTAAATGCAAAAAGATAAAATTAAATAAGAAATTCTTCAAGCCTCCACATCTTGATTAGCAATCCCATCTATCTCACAAACCCAATCAACATTCTCACACCTAGTTTCGTATCCACGTCAACATTAAAATCTTAAAAAAATGTTAAGGAAGGGGTGAGCAAAACTAGTCTAGTAGAGAAATTTTCTCAAACCTAAACAAGGTTTACAAAATTTTATAAAAACATGTAGGTCTCGATTTATAAAATAACATATATAACTTTTGAAGTAAAATATGTTGAATTGTAATGATCTCGATTTTTGATACATGAACCAAAAAATCTATAATCAAGAAGGATCATCAAGAAAATAACAATTTACAATAATGATATCTCATGTATGCAAGTTGACTAACAAAAATCCACACATAACATATATCTTGTTCACAAAACTTCACCTTCTAATCAATCCTTGCAAGTCCATAACATTTTAGCAAAGCACGTATACTGACATATTAATATTTAACAGAATCCTCTTCGGAGTAGTATATTAATCCTCAGTCTTGATCCTCGAAAAAAATAGTGGTTTGGAACTCCAAAAGGAACCAACACCCCATTACGAGTAATAGGAAACTATCGAACCCCTCAAGGTAAGAAACAAATCTAAACATTCTGAGATACAAGTTTAAGTGCAACCCAAGTTCATCAATTCCACCATACAAGAGATGTAATTCATGTCTTTTTCAATAAAATTCACGTGTACTATGAATAAAGATTCCAAAATTCTTAAAATAGAGAAATATTCAATAAAACACGCATGAGATCGCAAAAAGAATATTATCAATTAGACATTATCCAAGATCTAGGTTTTGAATAAAAAACGTACAATCGGATGTACATTAGGTATTTTTCCAATGAAAATTGAGCATGTTTTTGTAAGAATTTCAAAAGAGTTATACATCTAGAGTATATATATGGATTTGAATAAAAAAAATCACATGTAAATAAGCCCTAGCCTCAATAAATACAAAATGAAAAGAAACACTACCTTGATTCTGAAGAAAATTGCTCCTATCGTGTTTTATGTGTTTTTTTATACGTGGATCTCTTCAAGATCTAGCATAATCTACTTTTATTCCTCCTCTCGTCCTCTCCTCCTCTCGAAGACTCTCCTAGGCTCCTTCGGATTGAAAAATATGTATAGAAACCTTAAAACACATCCCTAGATTATTTATAGTGTAAAAAATAGAGGAAACACTCAAAAATGATTTGGCCGACATTAGAAACGCGTCCGGATGCACATCTTTTGTCCTGATGAACCAAAGTCACTGTCTAAAGCTTCACAGGTGTGTGCGGACACACTCATTATCGATCGAACATGGGTGACATATTCCCAAAACTTCTGGCTCTATTTTGACTTAGTTGGATGCCGATTCATGAAATTTGCATGGTATACACTTTTGTAGCTCTTGAATACTAATGCTTCAAGAATCAGATTGATCGGACATCGGGATAAAATGTTATGATCAAAATGCTGAGGTAGTGTCAAATTTCATCGCACCTAAATTCTTTCCAAAATGTGTTTTAACCCTAGAATAACTCTAAACTTCTAATAATCCCCATATCCCAAGGTTTATCGAGTTCTGGATTCAATAGTAATATTATTTTCACCTAAAAACTTTTAAAAACTTACCTAGCCACCATTTTCAAGTTTAAACACCTTTGAAGCAAAATTTGATTCGAAGGTCAATACAAGCAAAACTCAAACTTCACGTTCATTCTTTTTACAAAGATTTGAAGTTTCTACGATCATTTGACTATCTTAGAAGAAATCTAAAGATTTATTATTTCATTATAGTACTGGGTTTTCCAAACCATTTCACTAAAAGAAAGTTTTTTCCTCGAAACTTAGTTGTCGACTCTCTGTCTACCTAATTTTAATTGACCACAAGGTCTCAACGCTTATTCATCCTTCAAGCATCAAATCCAAAATTAGAATATATTTCTCACATTGAAGATTTTTTTACCTCCATCCACCGAATTTTACCCAAAGGGATGCTCTATTTATGTTGTCACTGCTTGCCCCCCAAATGGGTTGTATTTTCATGAAAGCTTCCAAAGTGTAAGAGAAAAGTATTGTGTCATAACTAGAATAAAAAGTTCAAGATCATCTCCTTAGGGAAAGAATTGGAATCCAATGTGATGAAAAATAAAAAGAAAAAGT